ACAAGCACACAAAAAATATTCGAAAACAAAAGAACCTTTAAACAAAGAAATTAAATAGACTTTAAAAAAAATCGAAAATGAGATCAAAACATATATCAGTTTTCTTTAATCATCAATCTTAAAAACACCAACTTATTCTTCTTGACCTTAAATCACAAATTTCTAATGAACCCTCTAATATAAGAGCTTAAAAGCAAAGAAAACAAAATAAGTAGGACTCACCTGTTTTATATCTTTTTTCTCTTTTTGTTGCGTGATCAAACAAAACGGAATTTACGAAGTTGAGAAAAAATCTTCTGTTTATGAAATAATCACTACCCGAAAGCTCAAAACTTCTTAAAATCAGAGACTTGAAATGCAATGGCTATTAACCAAACCATAAAAGTATGAAAACTTCTCCGAGTTTAAATAGAAGATTCAACAAAAGTGGTCACATTTTTAAAATATTCAAAATTTATTGACATCATAGTTGCTACATTATCATATGAGTTCTTTGTTTATCTATTCACACAAATAATGTCAAAAGGGGCTACATTTTTTAAAGATCTGGCATTGAGTATCCAGTCGTTCGTCCTTCTTTATCAAATAATACAGCTAAGCAAATAAACATCAAAAATCAACATCAAACAAACATTTAATAAAAGTAGAACCAAAGATTATTGCGTGAAGTTCTTTGGTAGAACAAAGCTTTCATAAAGCACAAGCATATATAATAGTTTTCAACCGATTCAACACAAATCGATGAATTTTAATTTTGTAGCATATCTTTTTCGGACGATTATAGGTTAAATTTTAAGTGATAGAATTAAAGTGCGGTATGAACTTCCTTAATTTGAGCCACTCACTGAAAAAAAAAATGCTAACGGTTAAAAAATGACGGTAGCTGTAGTTCACGCTTGATTTAAAATCGTTTGCTTTTTTTCAAACAAATATTGGTTAGCCTGACGCCTAGGGGACTCTAACCCATTGACCATTGGGAATATTTTACGTCAGCACTGTGATAGGTGCAAGTCGGATGCGGAATTCGTATCGATCAACCATCACCGGGATTCGAACCCGGTTCTCTCATTGGAAGACATTGGAAGACAAACGCTCTATCNTAAATTTAAAATTTTACACAAGTTATTATTTGCATTTAAATTACGGATAATTTAACACAATTGATATTTCAATGCAAAGCGCTTCATGTTCCACGTTCTATTGAATATTTTCTTCATTTTTTCCTGAAAATAAATCTTTGAAGTGAACATTACCAGGTCCAAATGTACGCAAAATAGAATAAAGCATTTTATTCAGAACTGAAAGACTTCAGAAATGGTTAGTTGATGTTTTTGTTCGATCAAAAACTTTTTTTCTACCTCTGCAATAATAATTCTGCATAAAATAAATGTTATCAAGGTCTGTGGCTATAGCAGTTGTGTAAAATTTGAAACTTTCATCAAGAAATATTTATTATATTTGGCATTAATTATTTTCGGTTTGGAAAAATAAGGAGACACTGGCGTCCAATTTTGCGCTAAAGGTAAAATCTTCCATACAGGGCTTCTAAACAATTTTTCAAATTTGCACTTTAGATCAAAGAGAAGCAATCCTGGAAATTTCCATTAACAATATCCATTAATTATTAATTTTCGAATTGGAAACCTAATTTGAACCACTTTTTTTAGATTTTCTTAGCACAAATTCTCATAATCTAACAGAATCTTAATTATTAGACTTTTTATAATCAAAAAACACCAATACATTTTCACTTGAAATTAAAGTTAGATAAAATAAGGGACACCAGTGTCGTAACTGAGTAAAGGGTCAAGATTTTAATGAAGTTTTAAATTCGAACTAATGGTAAACGAGTTAAAAGCTTTTAAGGTATTTATCGGCTATAAGAACAGTGTGTCAACTGCTTTTTCCGATTTGTCGCCAACATCAGCATCAGTAACTTTTACCGATAAAATCTGAATTTTAATATCACAATGGTTAAGGTTTAACATTAGGGATATTTTGCAATTTTACTAATTCATATTATTTTTGAATTAGTTACCACAAATAAAATTTCTCAAGATTCACAATATCATATTCAATATCATATTCAATAACTATCATTGTGTATATTATTAGAGATTTAAATTATCTATAAAGATCATGCAAGTAGTGATACAAGTAGTGATAGCGAAAATTTCGCAATCTTTATCTACTGTTGTCCATGATATTCTCCTAATTGATGCACTTTTGTATTGCGATGCATTTGATATCAATATTAAAAATTTTAAATTTTTATTTTCAAATTTGAAAATGTTTGCGTAGTTTGGATAGACTACAATACCCATACCCATGCATTAAAATAAGCATCTGCTATAAATTGCATGAAGAATTTATTTGCAAAAAAGGGATAAAAAAAACGCAATTTACCAAACAGAGTCTCTTAGCATTTGCTGTTAGAAGGAACAAATACTACAAGGTTAGTTTTAAACTCTCTGGAAGGCTGCATTTAAAGAGGAGTTTAATTGTTGAATTTCTTTGCTTACGTAACACAATAAAACCACATTTTCAAAAATTCTTTAAAAATGGAAAAAAAATTTATTTAACTTTTTATTTCAAATTTGAAGCTTAAGTTTTCAGAAATAAAAAATTGGACAAAATTTCTAGTAGTTTCAAAGATTAAAAATTTTAACCACTGTAGGTAAACACAAAATTTACAAAGAATATTAGACTAGAAACTTTCTAAGAATTTAACACTATTGCAAACTTCTAAAATGAGCTACGAACTGATTTTTTACAGACATATTTCAGTTCTAAGTTAATGAAAAACCAAGGGTTTTTAAGACTTTATCTCGTAAGTAGGGGAAGTACGATTCTTTTGCTGACAAGAGGGGAGAAATCAAAATTTTCAAAACAACACTTACGTAATATTTGAGCGCTTCCCAAAGAATCAAAATCTGCTAAGTTAAATTGAGCAATACACACTACAAGTAATTCAATTCAAAATTACAATTATTCCCTAATTCTAAATTTTATAACGCGTCTGGTTTTCTTGATGTAGTTAAGGTTACATTAGCATGGTCTATGTTAAATGCCTGTGCCTTTTCCAATATTGATAGAAGCATTAAGGGCATGAAGTTTAATATTGCTTAATGGTCTACAAGTGCCTCGAAAATGAAACTGCACTAGAAGAGTTGCAAAAAAGAGGAGAAAAACGGTAAGGTAAACGAGTATACTGTAAGGATTGGAAGAGGGGCGTTTGGATGTTTGTAAGAGTTATTCATGACATAAATGATAATCGTTTGACCAAATAAATATGGTAAAAATTCTGAAAAAAAATTAGCTAAGGCACTTAAACTGGTGCGTTTTTGTTTTCTTTAGCAAAATAGCTTTGAAAAATCTCTTTAACCACAAAACAATTATTTTTAAATTATTTTTTTAAGCAATGCACATTTCCTTAATGTATGTCACTTGTTTTCTGAACAACGGGATTTACCAACTCATTATTCAGAAAGGCAGAGAAGGTCAATATCTTTCGACAAGTTCAAGCTGTCTGGCATGAAAACAATTCTTCAATTTTCTACGTACTTTCTATCGTTAGTTAAATAACTTCAGTGAAATTGTATTCTTCGTATTTTTNTTGTTGCAGGGCGCACCCAACACGGTATTCCAGCAAGACAATGCCAGGCCGCATGTCGCACGGCGAACTCTTAACAGCCTGACTGGATTTGACATCCTTCCCTGGCCGGCAGCCTCTCCAGATCTGAATCCCATAGAACACCTATGGGATCTCATTGGACGTGGCATGAACAGAGGACCAATGGCGCAAACCATCGATGATCTGCGCACAGCAGTGGATGTGGCTTGGCAAAGGTTACCTCAGGCAACCATCAATGGAGTCATTGATAGCATGCCTCGCCGGATTGAGGCCTGTATAGCTGTCCGAGGTGGCCACATTAGATAGTGAGTAAATGGCTTTTTAATAATTTTATTAGTCTGTGTTTTTTAATCATTTGCATATCCATCTCACTACTATCGCTCCTGAAATTTGCATGACGCTACGTGCATTATTTCTTGGTGTTGCAATTTCACTTTTGAGGAGTGTAGATAATTATTTTCAAAAAATGCCTGAGTGAAATAAACAAAGCTCTTAAGAGAGAATGAGTAATTATTAAATGACATTCTTGAAATTTCTAAATGTTAAATAAAAACAGGGATTCATAAATTTAAATTCAAAACAGGAAGACGAATTAGAATTTCAATAAATGTGTTTTATAAAACTTAATAGGTAGTCGTCGATAAAGGAGTTTTATATATATATGCACTCACGCACAGACAGTTGGAGAGATCGAAAATAAATTACAAACGAAAAATAGTGTTTTTTTAATACCCTAAGCAAAAAATTGCCATAATAAATTTGTGACAACTGTTGAAGATATTATATGCGCTAAATGCACAAAATTTCGAAAACCTGGTTTAAATATTATATATTTATGTGTGTAGGGGAGGTGGGGGGGGTTGATGTGAGTGAGTGAGTGAGCCTGTGTGTTTATTCAGAAAAAAATCATGTTTCGTGTCTAATTTTCCAATTTAATTAATGGTAAGCACTAATTAGTTAGTATATTAGAAGTTACACTCAGGAACCCTTAAGATTGACAAGAGTGGCGAGTGGAAATCCAATCATTAGAACGAAAGTTATTCCCCGGGTGATATATTGTTTTTTTGCGCGCTGTGCAATGTGCTAAATAAAAATGAGCCACCATAAATAACTTTTCAATCAGTCCCTGTCCTTATAGTATCTTTTTTTACTAGCAGGTTGAAGGTAGCATTCGATTGCGCTAGAGTAAGTGCTCTCACATGCACAAATTGCATTTAGTGAGAATGCTCCCTTAAGCTTTCCTAACCTGTTAGTAGAAATAAGGTATAAGTGTGGAGTCTCAAAATGTATATTAGTGGGAAAGAGCCGTGGAAAATTTTTGGAAAAATAAATAAATAACGGCAACTGTTTTTCAGTGGTTTGCGATTTAACTTTAACTGTGCGGTAAAATTTTGCTTTGTTTTGGACTTTCGCAATCTTCAATCTTGACATCATGTAAAATTATGTAAATATTTCAATCTTTGCTTGTCAGGTAATGTGAAAATGATGTTCGTCTAAAACGTAATTGTCTTCTTCGCTATGACTTTATCCAAAGAAGCAGCGTTAGAAATTCTCGGATTGCCTTCATGTGGGTTAAATTTTAATAAAAATCAAATCTTAGTTTTTGTATTTTGGAAAGTGTTGGATGTCTATTTTATGTTTAATTTATTTTCAGTTGCTTCAAACGATTTTATAGTGCAAAGATATAAATACTTGGCTTTAGAGTGGTTTCCTGAAAAGCACGATAATAGTGAATTTTCTGTTGAGGTAGTAAATTTTATCTGTTTTGTTGTTACTTAGCAGATTTTGCAAAATAACATGTTAACATATCTTTTATTTAAATTGTTTGTATGAGTAATATGTTTTTGTTATCAGCATTAGCGAACTCAAACAAGCCGGAATTACAATAAGTATCGCTAATTAATGTTTGTATTTTATTCATTAATTACCGTTTGTTCTTATTTAATTTTCCGTTCTGACAAATGAAGCATAAAGAGGCGAAATAATAATAATTGCGTCAAAGCTAGCATTTCTGTAACTAATTAGGTGCTCACATCTCTTGAAACATTTTCTAAAATGATCTCTTACCTTTAATCAGAACTTTTTGGATTTTCCTATCTAATCTCTGATTAAATGTGCCTACAAGTTGCAGTATAAATATTATATCTTAACAAGTGTGTCAAATAGCTATATTTATTTTAATTTAACATTCTTACCATTTGTCAACTGTATCATCTGATACAGTTGACAGTACAGTACATCTGATACTTATGTATTAAAGGAGCTGTAAAAAACAATTACTAATGTTCTTAGATATAAAACCAATGTTAGATACCAATAATTTCAGTTGGTACTTCTTAGCAAATTTAGTTTTGCATCACTGGTATTATTTAAAATTTGCATATTTTTTAATGGTCACTTTTAATGCCTAAATACACTGAATATTTATCTACATTCAGTCCCTTTTCATCACTCAAGTCATTTTCTGGTACTTTAAAAGTTTTTATTGTCACACTAATCTTTATAAAAAACTTGTATAATATGATTTTCAACTTAATTTTTTTTTTTTTGTAATTTAAATGATTTTATTTAAAGATTTTTTAAAAAATATCAGATGATTGAAATCATATCAAACCAGGGTTGTGGTTTTGGACAGGACACATGAGTTTTACTGTCTTAAACTGTCCTAAACTGACTAAAACTGTCTTAAAGTGTCCAAAACTTTGAAAATTTTTAAAAGGTAAAAATTTTATATGTTTAACCATTGTAAACATAATAATTACATATATCAATTAATATTTGATACTTTTACTTTAAATTATTAAAGGAAAATAATATAATGTAATGTAATAGGAAATGTAAATAATGTAATAGGAAAAGATTAATAACTTTGGAAGCTGCACAATTCATCTAATAACAAAAGTGAATACCTTATCCTTTAAATATGCTTTTGATACTGATAAATTATGTTTTTGCATAAGGATAAATAATGCAGTATAAAAATATAATAAAATGTTTATGTTTTTGACAAAACATAAACTTTTCTTCATTTTGTTTCTTGTTCAAAAATTAGCCTTTTATTTTTCACATTATTTTTTTAAAATTGTGACATAATTTCAACAAAAGGGTTTTGGACAGGGCGGTTTGAACCCTGGTTTAAGCCGTGATTGATCCATTCTGTCCTAAACCTTGCCAACTCTGTATCAAACCTGTTGCCAAGCAACTAAAGTTGACCTGTGGATTTATTCTATTGAAACAAAATTTATTCAGAGTTCAATTATAAAATTTTGTTTATCTCGATGAGTGTTTTACAGTCATGTGTAAACAATGTTTTTCTCTAACTTAATGTCTTTAACAATTTATTGAAAATGTAAATTCTTTTAAATCATTTCATAGTTGTATAATTTTAAAATAATTTTTTAATTATTTATAGGCATTCTTTTGCAGTAATTATTTTTTAACATTCAAAGAATTTTGTATGAGTTATTGAAGTAAAGGCTACTTTTAAAACAGCAGCATTATGGTTAAAAAAGTGTTTTTGTGGTTGATTATGAGTATTTCATACAGTTTATTTAGCTTTTGTTGAAAATTAAGCCTGAAGAGTCATTTATTTTAAACATAGATATTTGATATTTGGTAGACAAATTTTTTCAACTTAGTTAGCATTTTTGCTTTGAAGCAAAATCACTATCGAAGTTGAAGAAAAAAATGGTATCTATTATGAAAATTAGTCTAGTCACTAGACTCTAGTGTCAAGATGTTGTCCTCGTTATAAAAATAATGCCCTATCCAGTTAAATTTAAATTATTAATATTTTTTGAGAGTTTATTTTTAAAGTCTGTTTCTAAATATTTAAATAAAACACAAAAGACCCTTTTATTATTTTATTTTCATGTCTATAAGCAAGTTCTTATTTTTCTCTATGTAAACAACTTATTCTTATTCATGATTGGTCAAGTATATATTTACAGAAAGAATATTTTGATTTTTCCTTAAATTTCATTATTGTTCATAAAATAGTCTTTTTTAAAATTACTTGAAATAAACTTTTTAATTTTTTTTACAGGTGTTTGGAAATATCACAAGAGCTGCATTGACGTTACTTCAACCTGGCAAAAGTCAGATAATAGATTTGGTAACTCTTATTAATATATAAGGTGTTTTAACTATTTTCCTTTAGACTGTTAGACTTCAGCAAGAAGGTTTATTACAAAAGATGTTCTATTATGTCTATAGTTTTAATTTTAGACTGTAGAATTTGTGAAGATGTATTATTATTTAACTGAAATAAAATTATTATTCAACTCAAATGAGGGTCATCATTTGTTGAAGTCCATGTTTAAGATCAAACATATATTTATGTACTAATTCATTGACAGTAAAAGTATATTTTTACAAATTAAAATAATTGTTTTAATATTTATTTGTTTTTTGAAAAATGATTCTCAATACATTTTCTGTTATAACTCTTTGTAACAACAACTTCAATTATGTTTCGAATTAGTGTTTCAAATTTTTTTGTTAGAATACCTAGGTATTCTAGGAATGTGCATTTTGTAGTTATATATGCTCATAAAGATTAATTTAAAAATATGTTTAAAGCACAAGAGCACAGCTGCCAACTCTTTTGCATTATGCTGATGTTTTCTGAATTTCTGCTTTCAATATCTTCTGCATTTTGGAAAATATACATAATTTTGTACCTTCTTAGATCTGGAATACAAAGTTCCATTTCCTGACTTCTGCTTGCCGAAACATCTATTTTCCCACCACTTTTCAGCAATCATAATAAACAAATATCTTTACCCTCTTCAAAAATATAAAAATGAAATCAATTTTATACAGGCTTGCTATCTGTTAAAGTATTAAAAAAATATTTATATATCCTTTGCTGCTTTTCAAATATTTATTCTGCTTCGATAAGCTCACTAAAAAAAAAAAATTTTATTTTCCTCAAATCTCAATTCTTTTCCATGTTATATATTTTTTTTATTAGATAGGATTAAGTTGCTTTGAGAATTTGATGCTCAGCTTTTATATAATAATCTGTCCTTATTATTCTTTACATGAAATTGGTAAAAAGGAGAAAAACATATGTTAATTTTTGAAAAAGGAAGTTCAAATTATCTTCATCACTAGTGTTTTTTTTATTTTTAAAAGTTTTGATTTTATTATACTAATCATTCTTTGGTTAATTAAATGTCACACAATCTGCAGGATAGTGTTGCCATATGTAATTGACGTTATTTGTCATCTATTTGAAATTTTGTTTTATGCATGTTTAGATGTTTGTTTCTTTTAAAACCTATTATCTGGAAAAATCTATTGTCCTAATTCTGGATATAGGACTTTCCATTGTATTTAGATATGAGAATTGGCTCTCCTGTTTTGTTCAGACAATAACATCTTGGATTTTTGCTGCCATTCCACCTATTTGATGCTGTAGGTCATAAATTAATGCAAAATAGAAAAATGTTAAGCATTTGATAGGATAAAAAAAAAAGTTTATTTTTCTTCCATTTCTTTAAAACGCTATATTCCACTTTTTAAGCTATTCCCCTCATGAAACTCTATATTCCTATTATTATATTTTTGATTTGTGAATAAAAATTTAAAGCACATGAATTTTCTGCATTTTAATTTATTTCTCTTACAAATATATAGTAAATTTTTTGCATTTTAATAAATGAGTGTTAGCAGGTATGCTATGTAATTCACAATTAGTGAATATAAATTATAAATATTTTTTTATATGAAGTTAGTATTTTATTCCTTTGAATTCTAGAATATGGAATTGATATATTCGTATTAAAATGCAATTTAAAAAGAATCTATTTGACAGGGCAAAATTAAGAGAACTAGAGTATTGATTTGAAGCCCTTAAATTTTCTCAGAGTTCTAATCTTTTATAAGGAAAATAAAACCACTTATTGCACAATACCTCAATGAAAGGTTAGGAATTAATAGTAATTCATATTGTGAAATTTGTATTGTTTCTAATTGCAATTTAAGATATGAAGAAACTGCAAAAATACTAACAAAATTTTCAAAACATAGGTAAAAGCAATTAAAATAAAACTGCAAAATTTAAAATTTTAAGCGGCATTTGAGGGTGATCTCCTGGGCAAGGGACCTTTCTACATAATCATCCCATGATATAATGATGACCATGATATATTCACAATTTGCTTGTTATTTCTACAAAATATCTTTTGAACAGAATAATGACAGGTCGGCATCTGTGCTTTGTGTAATTTTTATTGCTTTGTGTAATTTTCCTATATATTTTTTGTATTTAAATGTTATTAATTTTAAATTGTGTACATTACATAATATTATGGATGCATATTCCAGTTGTTAAAGTTAAAATATTTTCATTTCAGGAGGAGATGTATAATTTTTTTCAACATGTGTTCTTTGGTGGTCAGTATTTATTTCTCATATTGATTTATATTTAGAATTTTTAATTAATCTACTCCTTTGCATTTGGTTTCATAATTTTTTTTAAGTGCCTAGAGAATAAAAAAAGCTAATATTTGAATTAAATTAGATTTTTTAAAATTTTGAATTAAGTGTTTTATGATTTAAATCAGATTTCTTTGATTCTCTTAGATACTGTAAGATCTTTAGTTTATAATCATTTTAGTTTAATAATAAGTATAATCATGTTTGAAATATTATTTGAAATAAATAATAAATTTGCTGCATCTGAATTTGCTATCTTAAGTGTTTTTGAAATATTCTTTCAGTTTTTTGCTTGTTTTGTTTTTAGCAATGCTTTTATAAATTATGATATTCTAGTCTCTGTTATTTTGCATGCTTATTTCAACTTTATATTTCTAGGTTCATTTAATATAGCTCTTAATAATGTTCATGCTAATAAGTTAATAATTATTGTAATGATCAGAATTTTTGTGTGATTTATTCTTATAGGTGCTGGAAGACATGATAAAGAAGTAACTGCTGATTGTGAATGTGAACAGGAAGTTAGCGATTCTTCTGCAAATCCTTTTGAAGATGGTTAGCTTATTCCTTGATGTCTAGATGAATATTATTTTTTAAAATTTCTTTATATTGTTAAATATCTCTATTAAATTAAATTAAATTTATTTTATTTGTTATCTTTTTCATGCTGTATTTCAATATTTTGAAAATTTTCTTAATGAATTTTTTTCCATAAAACGTAAGCTAAATGTCAATAAAAATAAATTGTTATTACGAAATAAATGATTGTCGGGCAGGAATTAAGGTTACAGATTTTCTTCCGCATTCTTTTTTGTTAAAAAAATCTCTCTAGAATCAATACTTTAAAAAAAAAAAAAAATCTATTTTGAACTAATATGCGATGCATATTTTTAATACAAAAAATCTTTCAACAGCCAAATTTTTGTTCTCCTTTTCTTAATAATAATAAGGTTAATATGAGGTGGTGCATATCACTTACTGTAAATCTTAGAAAAAATAAACATTGAGTTACGCAAAAAGAATTTATAGGAAGTATTTTTTGTATACTCTGACTAATTTTTTTTTTTATTACCGTTTATTCCGGCGCATAACCCGCCCCGGCGTATAACGCGCACCCGTAATTTCTAATACTTTTTTAAATTTAGGAAACCAGAAAGCCTTTTAGTGTGGGATATGTTTAGGACCCACCTTACAGTTAACACAAAATTTTTTTTGAAAGAATGTATCACCGATATGGCAGTAATTCCGGGCGGATTGACACCATTAGTTCAGCCATTGGACGTCTGCTTAAACAAGCCATTTAAAGCCAATTTTAAAAAACAATGGAACACTTGGATGTTGGAGAGCGAGAAAACCTTTACGAAAGATGGACATATGCGTCATGCAAGTTTGGAAACAGTATGCGAATGGATATTAAAAGCATGGGATGAAATTAAGCCTGAGATGGTTAGAAAATCATTCAAAAAATGCAGCATTTCAAATAATCTGAACGGATTAGAAGATGACACAGATGACGAAACAGATTGTGATGACGTGCCTGAAGAAATAACGGAAGACGAATATAATGAACTATTTATGTAATAACGATAATCAATAAAGTATATAGGTAAAGGTATGTTATTTCTTCAAAATTAAAGTGTTTTTCTATATTTAAATTTTTTTGATCTAAAATTTTTAATATTTGGCGTATACCGTGCACCCGTATATTCCAATGTTATTTTTTGTATTAAAAGTGCGCGTTATACGCCGGAATATACGGTACTTTAAAACTCATTGACATAACCCATTAAGCCTATTCGTTATATGTTGAAGTAAAAAGTTTTTATGATTGTTTCAAAACTCCACTCACTTGACATTTTTTATATCCTTTCCTTCACATGTTTGATAACAAATAATAATTTTAAAAGAAGAAAACACTGAGCTTGAAAACAATAATATTATTCCAAGTGCTTATGTTTGTATACCAGCTTAGCATTACTTTTATTGCTATATGCATTTTGTATGTAGATTTTGTTTACTTTTGTACATTTACCAGCTTACCCTTAACATTTATTGTAACTATAGTTAAATCTATTACATTTAATAGAAGTTTAATTTGTATGTGTATATTTATTATTTCAGAATTCCGACGTATTATTGAAAAAGAAGAAATTAAGGTAATTTTTTTCTCCAGAAAATATTTTTTTTTTTTTTTTTTTTTTTTTAAAAACTTTGACAAGCATTTTTATTACTTTATTTACTAGTTTCATTGAAATACAAAATTATTTTCTTTTTATTTACAACTACCAATCTGATTAATGCTCACTGCTAGCATGATTTCAAGTTACTTGTTCATCAATATCAACCAAACTATTGAGCAGCTGAGTAATGAAGGTTACATATATTTTCATATTTTACCTAATAATATGTGTATATATTTACCTTAATGAATATTATGTAAAGAATGGATCTCACCAAGTTTATGATATTTTATTGGATTGCAGATATGATTGCTTCATTCAAATTTTTTATTTGTTTATGAATTGATTGTATTTGTTAAATAATTTATTTTTTGAGTTTTTAAGTATATTTTTGTTAATCTAATAGACACAGTAATTAGAACAATTACATTATTTTTGTAGCTAACTGCAACTACTTAATTATAAGTGTAATTAACAACTACTTTTTTTTAATGCTGAGACTGCAAATTACTTTAAAAATGTAGTTACTACTTTTAGGAGATAAACTTTGCTGAAGAACTTAATTTACACCCGTGTTCAAAATGATTTGAATGAAAGAAATTCACATATTTAAACATGAGAGAATTGTTAAGAAATTTTTATTCATTTTTACACGATTCAGTGTGTTCTAAGCTATTTTATACAAATTTGTTCTTTTAACCCTCATTTTTTCATACCTTTCTGAACGGCAAATTGAAAAAATTTTAGAAAATTTCTAATTATTTACAATTTTGTTAAGTTTTATGATGTGAAGGTGTGGTTGATGTGTTATGTCAGCTATTACTTGCAATAGCTAGTTCAAGTATTTATAATACATAATTCTTATAATTGCTTTGCCACAAAGGCATCCTCATTGTATCTGTTGATTTACTCACAAAGATTTGTACCAATCAGATTTGAAAAGTTAGTAGCATTAGAACTTTGTTTCTTTACTAAACTATTATTAAAATACTAGCTACTGTTTTTTTGTATAACACTACTATCTACTCTATTTTAAAAAGAAAAAAAGACTGCACTACAAAAGAATAGCCACTGCAGTAGTTTTACTATTTCCAACTACTGAATGTAGACCTATTAAATATAGAATTCTTTCATTTACTGATCCTTTACAATAGTGACCGAATTTTCTTAATTTCTTCTCTTGTGTTTCCATTGGATGTTGATTTTATGGATGATTCAAATGCAATTCTTTTTTGAGGCTCTATTTTTGTTACTAAAATTTCAGGCATCAAAAAGCTCTTAGGGTTTTATTTATTTTTTCTTCCAAGAAGTACTACGTTTCAAGGATTCATCTTTTTTTTCCGAAAAAAAATATGTTTTTCTGTTACATGTTAACTAAAAAAACAAGTTACTATTCTGAATAACTTTCGTTCAATTTATTAGATTTTTAATTTGAAAAGTGTTCTTATAGTTATAACGTTTCGTTATTGACAACATTAAATGATTTCCTCATGTTATTAGCTGACCAAATTCATTTTTATTAGATTACTTTAGCATCTACCTTATGCACAATAAAATGGGTTTAAATAAACTTGTCACTCATTTTGCTTGTACTGTTTCCTTTCATGATTGTTGCATTTATTGTGCATATCTTATTCATCTTGCATTCTTCTTCATATTAAGTTTATCCTATTTGCTTATATTATACTTTATACTTATTATATTATACTTCATATTTAGTTGCTTACTAAGAAGTACGTCTTGTATTCTTCAAGATGTTTAATTTTAAAAATATGTTGTAGTCCTTATAACTATTTCACAATTATATTATGTTGTCATTAGTCTCCAGCAGATGAACCCTTGTAGTCTTCTTGTGGCCAGAGTGTGTTACCTTCACAACCTGTGGCTATCTTCTCCATTTTGGAAAAAAGTGTGTGGCAAATCAATTCTAATATTTAATATGTGTACGTCACAAGGTTCTAAGATTTGCCCTCAAATTTGCTCAGTAATTAGTGCTGTCTATCATTTAAATTATAAAAGTGGACAAAGAAACTAACATTATCCGAACAAATAAACTTTCACTTTAAAGGATTTCGATTCTAGATCGTCAAAATAAAGGGGAGGTTGCTGCAATCTGGAAAAGATGGTCCGATCAGTTCAGTCAAGAGAACTGTTGAAAGTTAGGGCCTCTTAATGTTAATTTTGCTTTTTGGATCCTAAGATTTTGGAATGTAATTATAAAATTCACTTATCTGAAGATAGTTATATAATTTTGCATGAAAATTCTGACATTTGACAGGTTTATGTATATATATATATTTTGTTTCTTTGTACAAGGAACTTATGATTTATATATTTTCACTGATAATTAAAACATTATTAAGAAACAAGTTATTTTAAAATTTTTTATTTTTAATCAATAGGCTGCAGGTAGAGCGACTGAATTGATTCTTGAAGAAGAGGAAGAAAAAGCTAAGTCTGAAAGAAGGAAAGCTAAAAAGAAGGTTATTTTTAATAGAATCTCCTACGCCCAATATAATTTTTTTAAAAATGTTTTTATATATTTACTTATCTGTTCCAATTTCTGTAAGTTTTATTAAAAGTGTGTGTGTGTGAACATTTCAAGGTTGCTGAAATTAAGTTTTCTCAACTTTAAAATCTATGGGAGGTATTAAAGAATTTCAATGTTTGAGTTTTGAAAAAAAAATTAGTTTGTTTTTTCACATTTGCTTACATTCTGTAATGATTCTGCAAATAAAGGATAATATTTTTGTTAATATCTTTAAATCTTATGAAATTTAATGAGTTTATTTAAATGTTTATGAAAAATGTTGTTCATTATGTTTATTGTTGCTTTTAAAGATTGTATATAGTTATTAATTTAATGATATCTTAATAATAAAAATTTAAAGTTAAATTATTAATAAAAATTTAAAGACTGTTCTGAAACATAGTTTTTGTATTCTTTGAGATAAGTTTTTATTATGTACAAGCTTTTTTTTAACGTTCCATTTTAGTTATTTTTTCTGAAAATAACTATTTCTTACTCATGCCAAAGCTATTAAGTTAAACTCTTTTTATTGTTTTAAAAAAAACTTCAATATTTTGAGACCAGAATAAAAAAAATTTCTGCAATCATAATAAAAATATTAGAATGTATAGAAATTAAAGTTTTGTGACTTAGACTTTTATTTGCAACTTTTTTTTCTTCTAATTTTCATTAATTTTAGTGTAGCATTAAAAGAAGTTTTATTGATAACAATATGACTTCAGCCTGTCCCATAATGAATCATGGCATACCCCTGTCGCTTTACTTGTACCCATTATTTTTAACCATAATAAAAATAATACCTACTTTATGACTGGTATTCTAGATTGCGCTATTAGGTTGAAAAAGGTGGTTAATTTTTCCATTTTATAAAATAAATTTGTGGTTTTTTTTCTTTAGCATGTCACTTAATTGAAAAAAAACTTTTTTCTCCCAGTTTACCTTTATTGGAATTATATTTTGTGTTTTTTGTCATATTGTTTAAAATATTCATTTGATAAATTTTTTTTTAAAAAATGAAATAAATTTATTATTATTTAATTAACTATTTATACTTTAAAAATCTTATATAATTAATTGTATAAAATAACTGGGCATTTCTTTTATTATTTACGAGCAAGTGGGTGTAGCTAGTGACATGTGAAAAATGGATACGACATAAGAATGAATTATAGAATATTGACCAATAAGACAGTCTTTCTTAGGGGAGCTGTCTGATATAGAAAGCAGTACATTAAATTTAAAATAGTGATTAGTCATATTCTCTATTTCATCATGTTGATGCATTCTAATGCTTTATGAAGTTAAATGTTTTTCATACTGTGATTTTAATCGAAATGAACTTTATGATAACAAGTTATTTCAGAAATTTTTTTTTAATTATCTAACTTTTGAATCACTAATTTTAAAAAGCTTAATTGTTTTCTGTTAACGATTAAAGGTACTGCTTTTATTTGTTTTATTATGTGCAAAAACATGCACATTTTCAACATGAAGTTAAAAAGTTGTACACATTCTGGCATTCTGTCCTTAATTCTATTGTATATTTGCTTTAAGATATTTGAATTTTTACATGTATCTGTTATTACTAGACAGCGGATTATATGCACTAAAAAACGGACGAAATATGCATGCAAATATGCACTAAAAAACTTGAATATATGCTCTTAAAACTAGAAATATGCTTTAAAATAGAAATTAAAAGTTCAACTTATTTTAATACTACTACTTACTTTTTCCAACAAACACAGCTAAAACATTTTTTTGTTAAAAGGAAGAAAATCAATATATTTCTTACTTGAATCTACACATTTCTGAAGAAAAAGCCTAAAACTGAAGTATGATAAGTGAGAGAAGAAAAATCATCGCATTTTCCGGAAAGATTTCATTAAACTGAATAATTTTTGTTGCAATACACAACTGTTTTTCCAAATTTTCAAGGGTGAATTGATGTCGTCGGTCATCAAAGATCATTTTGAAAGCAGAAAATGACCTCTCCACGTCAACCGATGTTATTGGACAACACTTGTACAATTTCGTACTCATTGGTTTTACTTTTTCTGGAAGTTCAGTTCCGTTTCCATTAAGAAAATCATTTATCTTCTTCACTGCTGCAAAACCCGAATTTTTGTTTTGAACGAAACACCATTTTTCTTTTACTTTCTTCCCAACTGAGTCTGGAAGAGCATTGATGCACTCTTGAATTCTTTCAATTTCGGATATGGCCTCAGCCAGGGGAAGGCCTCGTGTTTCGAGCTTTGTTATTGCTCCACTTAAGAAAGAAAAGTGAGTGTCAATTATGGCCAAGTCCTTCTGCAAAGAGATATCCTGTAGTAATTCTTTTGTGACATGAACTGAAGAAGCACAGAAAGTGTCAATTGCATCTACAACTGACTTTATTGCATCAAAATTATTGGCGTAAAAACGTGCAGCTTCAATCCATGTACCCCACCTAGTTATCACAGGTTGTGGAGGCAAAGGCAAATCAGGATACATTTCTTTATACAATTTTATGCGCACAGGTGCCTTGAGAAAAACTTTCTTGATACTAGAAATTAAATCATTCACAGAGGAGAATACTTCTCGAACAGTCTCAGCCAGTCTGTGAACAGCATGAGCCAAACATGTAATATGAAGCATTCTGGGATAAAAAATTTCCAGTGCTGCTGCTGATTTGACCATATACGGAGCGGCATCACTGACAAAAATCAAAACATCTTCAGAACCATCTCTATCAGAGACCATAATAATCTGATATAATCATTGACAAACCTTGCTGTGGTTGAATGATTGACTTTTTCAAGGGCTTTGCTTGCTAGAAGATGTGGTCGAGTAGGAATATTTTCCATTTTTCCACAAATAAAATGAGCAATATAGCGATCGCACTTATCTGTCGTCTCATCGACTTCAATCCATATAGGGCCATTTCCAATATCTTGTCGAATATCATCCAATACTTCGTTATATATCGGTTGAAGGTAGTTCTTTCTTAAAGTCGATTCATCGGGAATGATCTGATTGGTACAATATTTTTTTAAAAACTGTCTTAAGTTTGGATTATTTAACTTTTTTAAAGGAATATTGCTGCTTACTAAAGCTTTGCATAAATCAATAGAAAAATCACTTTCCTTTTTAGCTGCTTGAACAGGAATAGTTAATAAATTTTGAACAAATCCTTTTGTATTCTGCTTTTTCTTCGCGGAGTGAGCATTAGTCTTTATATGTTGATCGATTTGGTACTTTTTTTCACAGGAAATGTGTTTTTGACAAATCACACAAAATACTATTTCCCCATCGGTCGTAAAGTCCTTCCCATAGTCCGAAATCCATGTCTTCATTAAATTTGATTTAGTCGACTTAATTTTTGGCATATTATAAAATTCAGCAGTCAAAAATCACGTTCGAAGCTTCACTAACTACGTATTCAACTGATGGATGTCGAAACTATCTATCTATCGGATGGACTATCGAAATATGTTAGAATAGCAGCTCTCTCCGAAAATGTATTCACTCCACCTTTTAACTAATCAATCACAGGAAAGGGAGGTCATTTTCTACCTACCACAGAAGCCTTATTTTTCCCACACAGATTGACAATTATTTATTCCAGGAAAAGACATCCCTTCATAGAATATCTGACCATCCCTTTCTGAGGTTTCTATGACGAATGTCTGTTTGGGTGGGCCCTTTGTACCCCCCTTCCCGACACACACCTCATTTCTACATCTTTTTCACGTGATTGCAATCACCCCCAGCAACATCAATCCAGCTGACCCTTTCAGTTGATAAAGAACGACAAAACAAAATTTAAAGCGTTCCTTATGCTAACATAAAAAGAATAGTGATGTGGTTTTAAGAGAGAAAAGCCGTGAAATGCTGAAAATATGCATTTATAAGAGCAAATATACCTTTTTATGCATTTATATGCACAAATGGCATAAAGTGCTAAAATATGCAATTGCATATGCACGTATGCAATTGCATATTATCCGCTGTCTAGTTATTACCATCCATGTAACAGAACTGTTTGTCCTTAAATTATTTATTTTGCATTTTATATTTGTATAATTTTTTATTTTGTATTACAAAAACTTAGTTTTATTAGTTTTTTATAAAATAAACAATTGAATTATAAGACTTTAAATTATATTAGTAAAAATGAATAATATGTATTCTATGTCTGAAAAATTAGACTTAACTCAGACTTTTAATATTTGTTAAAAATAAAGAAAAACTAAATAATTTATTTCATTTTTCACTTAATTTATTTCTGTCATCTAATTATAAACTTTGAAACTGCACACAAAGAGTATATTTGTTGAATTTATACATGATTTATGACTTAGGATAGAAATGACAAAGATTAAAAAATTTTTTGCAAAATTTGAAAAATTTACCCTTATTATCACAAAAATAATTGTAGATATTTTATAAACATTTGTAGTGCACATGTTCTGCCTTTCTAAAAAAGGAAAATCTGCACCTTTTGTAAAAAGTTGAAAAATTTAAAATTTAGAAAGGCAAAATCACAATTTCAAGGGATACTAATATTTAATTTCATATTTAAATTTTATAGTGAAATAATTTAAGTCTTTATTTCAGAGACGTAAGGAAAGAAAGAAGTTAGAAAAAGTAGAGCCGAAAAGCAAAGCTGAGGTATTTCTAAAATTATTATTTTCTAACATGTTTACTGTCAGTTGTTTTTTAATGAAATATTTATACAAAAGAAAAGATTTTTTTTTAAAGTGCTGTTATGTAAATGGTTTTTATTAAACATTTTATTTGTATTTAAATTTTTCCTCATAAGATCCAAATTATACTTTTTTTTCTCCTGAAGATTTAATCAAAATTGCTTTAAGGACTCAAAGAAATTACGAAAATTGATTTTGATACCAATAATAAAAATATTAACATAAATTTCGTATTGAAAGTATGTAACAATATTCAACAACAGTATTTGAAAATGTCTTTGTTTAGTTAAAAGGCATGAAAAATTGATAAGTTATAAATAGTTTAATTTATTAAATAATCATGGTTATTTGAATTAAAAAAAAATTGGATAATAAATTTTTTTAGACTTGGATTATTAGTGATATGTACTTACTATAATTTGTAAGTAAAATAGCCTTGAGAATGATTTACCATTTGTTTTTTAGGAAAGTGTACAAAACAAACAATCCAATGATGCTCCTAAGAAAAAAGCTAAAAAGTAAGTTAGTTATGATTTTTTTTACTACTATAAAATTATAAATTATTAATATTAATAATAAATAATTTGTTTTTAAGTTATGTAAATGTATATTAGGGAGAAAAATTTCTTAGAAACTAACATAATCAAAATGGTTTTGGTCATCTCCCTTAGATAACCAGTAGAAATGGTAACACATTTTAAAAGTAAGAATAAATAAAATAAAAAATTGTTGCTTTATTTCTGCTTGAAAAACCATTACCATAATTAATATTCTATGTCATGCTAATTGTAGAATTAACAAAAGTAAGGTCTTGTAAAATTAACAAAAATTAGCATAGATCTTTATATAACAACACACTAACTGATGGGTGGCTATGGCGCAGTGGTTAAGACGCTGAATTGTCATTGTGAAGAAATGGATTCTATCCCAGAGTATTTCTGGTGGCTTTTGATTGATGTGTACCAACTTTTCTGTGAAGTAAAGACAGCCGATGGACAATGGCAACATTACCACCATCGTCTCATTGGTCTTAAAATTGTGTAATCATAAAAACATCTGTGAAGCCCTTGAATGGCAATTTACTGTTGTGGGACTGCTGGCAAAAGGGTAAGGGATGACAATGTACTCTGCTGCAGAAAACATCATTCACTCTGTTGTTAATTTTTCTTCAAAAGATTCTTCCTTAAAGGTGTGACAGCCTTCTCAAAAGATTTTGTTAAAACTACTCTTTTGTTGGCTATGGTCTTTTAATTATTCACTCTCGGGATGGCAAAATCTCTTTCTGGGCAGCTAACCGGTCTGTGATAGGGTAAGCTCTTATGTAATATTTAATTATTGGCATAATTTAATGAACTGCAAATTCATAAACATCCTTTTTACTGTTTATAAGTTAACATACTTTTCAAAGTTAATATTTTATGTGCTAATTTTGTAAGCTTTGTGTGTTTTTTTTAAAAATTAGATGAAAAATTATTATATTTTTAATCCTTTTAGGGGTGAAATTCTCAAAGTTTCTGATTCTGAAGAGGTGAGTAATTTACAGTAATTATTTGAATAGATTGCCATTTTATTTCTAAAATATTTGACTTGTAGATGATTTCTATTTGTGGATGTTTTAAGCTGTAAGGATTAATTTTCTAAAGCATTGTATTAAAAGTAATTTTCTTTCTGTTAAGATAGAAACCAGATATTTTGATTGTTTTTAAACCGTATGTCATGATTAGACCGGAATTTTTTAAGATATACAAAGTCTCATTCCTTTAAAAAAAAAAAATTCATTATAACTAAGCCAGAAACTCAATCGTAAGCAAGATTTCATTCAAAAACTTTTTACACATTATTTGAAACATATATATTGAGAAATTGAAAGGCAAATTTTATTTCAGTTTAAATTAAATGTTTAACACTAAATTAACACGACAGAAGAATAAATAAAAAATTCATTGATATCTGTATTGATAAATTTTTTATGTTTATGTTATTAAGAAGGTGCAATATAAAAGGTAAAAGTGTTAATCAAAATTCATATAAAAATAATCATAATTCCAAAACAGTCTTAAGGTATTAAAGAAAGACCCTAAAATATACAACAATGTGCTCTAAAATGTAAAAAAATAAAAATTTGTCATAAAATGTATCGCAGTTCCCTAAAATGGTACATTTTCTTTTTTCAATGAAACAGGTAAAACGTGCAACATACCTGTACCAATTTGTGAATAAATCCTTTAAAAAAATTTATTTTGAACTAATTAAGAAATTCATACAATTATTGAAATTATGCAATTATATTAATATTAAATTTTTCATTGCTAATGCATTCAGGGCTTAGCACTTCAAAATCGCCATAGTCTGTGTCAATAACTATAGTGTTATGAAAAGTGGGACTTTTTAAAAAAAAAAAAAGTGTTTTTTTCTTTTTATGCATTTACATTTTAATGTAAGTATTGGAATTTCATGAAATAAGATTTTAAGAAAAAGTTTCATTTTATATGTATAAAAAATTATAATTAGAACGTATAATTTTCTAAACATTTCACTTAAAATTGACCTCAATTCTAATAAATCCACATTTCTTATTTATACACTTTTTTCTTGCTATAGTTTCATATAATATTTCATTACCACATATGTTTTTATTAGAATTAATGAAATGTTCTTTATGTTTTAGGATCTAGATCCATCTAGTGCCTTTGTCTCAGTTGTGGCAAAAAAGCATCGTAAGCAAATTCCAGGATTACAACTTAAGCAAGACATTGTCCTCGATATTAATAATCACTATTCGCCGGACTTGCCATCGGATGTAAGACTTTTTTGAATTGTTGTATGTATTACTAAACTCAGTATTATATGACAGTTAGTGTAGCAGTGGATTGGCTTTCTAAAATGAATTAAAAGCAGGCATAAGATTTCTCTATAGACCTGCAATTTTCTTTTGTTTTTATTTTTTTATTAAATTTATTCTGTTTTATATGTATTTTCTGTATAATAATAATTTTATAATTTATAATAATAATTTTATAATAATATATAATTTTATAGTAAATAAAAAATAGCTACACAGTTCAAAATTAACTATTTTTAGCGATTATATAATACAGTTGTTATAATATACAGCGACTCCAATTGTTATGGATTCTACATAGTTTCAGAAAAAAAAATTCATAATAGCATAGGTAATGTATTTATATTTTAATAAAATAGAATTAAAAGAAATTTTGTCCACCTTTAAGCATAAATAATTTAAAAAGATGCANTGCCATTTGCTCTCCTCTGAAGAGGTGAGTAATTTACAGTAATTATTTGAATAGATTGCCATTTTATCTCTAAAATATTTGGCTTGTATATGATTTCTATTTGTGAATATTTTAAGCTGTGAGGATTAATTTTCTAAAGCATTGTATTAAAAGTAATTTTCTTTCTGTTAAGTAATTTTCTTTCTGCTCTTTCAATTAATAACCATAGAAAACAAGTTAACAATAAGTAACTAGCAAAAAAAATTAACAGTCTTGCTTAAACTAACATCTTGCAACCTAATATGAGTTATTTGTCATCTTATCTGCAGCAACAGAAGTCACACTGATGTTACTTTAAGTTGAATTACCCCTATAACTGAGACATTGCAAAATGTATTTTTTTTTTTCAATATAAATAGTTTTGAGTTGATAGTATTTAGTATTATTATTTTCCCAATAATCACGAAGTCAAAATTACTTGACGGCACGTCTTTGACATCATTAAACAGTTTTTTAGAAAATATGGCACATTGGTGTATAAAAGTTCGCCACCCCTGGTCTAAGGTATTAAAGAAAGACCCTAAAATGTACATATATAAAACAATGTGCTCTAAAATGTAAAAAAATAAAAATTTGTCATAAAATGTATTGCAGTTCCCTAAAATGATACATTTTCTTTTTTTAATAAAACTGGTAAAACAAGCAACATTACCTGTACCAATTTGTGTATAAATCCTTTAAAAAAATTTGTTTTGAACTAATTAAGAAATTCATACAATTATTGAAATTATGCTATTATATTAATATTAAATATATTAAATTTTCCACTACTAATGCATTCAGGGTTTAGCACTCCAAAATCGCCATAGTCTGTGTCAATAACTATAGTGTTATGAAAAGTGGGACTTTTTTAAAAAAAAGTGTTTTTTTTCTTCTTTTTATGCATTTACATTTTAATGTAAGTATTGGAATTTCATGAAATAAGATTTTAAAAAAAAGTTTCATTTTATATGTATAAAAAATTATAATTAGAACGTATAATTTTCTAAACATTTCACTTAAAATTGACCTCAATTCTAATAAATCCACATTTCTTATTTATACACTTTTTTCTTGCTATAGTTTCATATAATATTTCATTACCACATATGTTTTTATTAGAATTAATGAAATGTTCTTTATGTTTTAGGATCTAGATCCATCTAGTGCCTTTGTCTCAGTTGTGGCAAAAAAGCATCGTAAGCAAATTCCAGGATTACAACTTAAGCAAGACATTGTCCTCGATATTAATAATCACTATTCGCCGGACTTGCCATCGGATGTAAGACTTTTTTGAATTGTTGTATGTATTACTAAACTCAGTATTATATGACAGTTAGTGTAGCAGTGGATTGGCTTTCTAAAATGAATTAAAAGCAGGCATAAGATTTCTCCATAGACCTGCAATTTTCTTTTGTTTTTATTTTTTTATTAAATTTATTCTGTTTTATATGTATTTTCTGTATAATAATAATTTTATAATTTATAATAATAATTTTATAATAATATATAATTTTATAGTAAATAAAAAATAGCTACACAGTTCAAAATTAACTATTTTTAGCGATTATATAATACAGTTGTTATAATATACAGCGACTCCAATTGTTATGGATTCTACATAGTTTCAGAAAAAAAAATTCATAATAGCATAGGTAATGTATTTATATTTTAATAAAATAGAATTAAAAGAAATTTTGTCCACCTTAAAGCATAAATAATTTAAAAAGATGCATATCAAATTATAAAGGCAAATGCTTAATATTTTTTTTAAATATCTTTGTTTCAAGGAACTTCGATTTAGTCCACTCTCTCTGGGGAAACAATAATTATAAACTACAGAAAATTTAAAGTCTGTGAATCGAGAAAGATTTGGGTTTTGTTGTCAATTCTTAACTTTCATTGTTTTTTGTTCTGGAATCATTCATTTATTAATTTCACTAAAGTTATAAGTTCATTACCTTAAACTTAAGTTATTATGTTCATATTTACAGTCTTTATTTTTTCATAATTATGTTAAAAGCTTTATTTGCATGTAGCAGCATTTTTTTGAAATTAAATTTTAGATATGAATATTCTATTATCTCCAGATAAGTAGTAAATGTTTAGTGCCATATTTTTTGACTTTTTGATCTGTTAGTAATATCATATCTTTGTTCTGTGTAGTATGAAATTTTTCAACCCAGAAGCAGTAGTGAAATTGCTAATAAATTTACTGCAAACAGAATAATCTCATTATTCATTTTTGATTTCTTTTATTTCATAAATTTTTCCTCTTTTTCTCCTTTTTATCCATTTTATGGTTTATTTAAATTATTAAATTTGAGCTTAACAACTACAAAATCTTTTAAGCTGTCGTAAATTAATTGCATTAATAATAAACCTGGTACAACTGGGATAATCCATGATGCAGATAAGAAATTTTACTTTAATAATCTTTGAATTTCAAAAACAAAAGTAATATTTGAGATTTATTAAAAAAATATGAAGGTAATTCAGGCTATTTTTCATAAACATAATTTATTTTAGAATGAAGAAGATCCTGAGATAATTATTTTAAAAAGCAGACAGATAGCATGTAAGTATTTATTTTGGTTGAATATGTTTCTTAAAATTGTTTAATTCAATATTCAATACAATGTTACTGGTACATATTGTATAGTTGTCTTAATATTATATATTTGAAATTAAATACTTTTTATTATTATTAATTTGAGGTGAGCAAAAATATTGAGTAAGTTTAAAGTCACACACATCAAAGTTTAGCAGTCTCTAATTCAATATATTGAATTTTGATTTCCTCATTGTAGATGACTTTCAGTATTGATTCAAATGTATTTCAAACTATATGGGTTATTTCTTGTTCAAAGACTTCATTTATGAAGTATTATGTGTTCCAGAGGCAACAGCATTTGTTTTTGCCAGGAAGAGCAATTGCATGATATTTTTCAATCAACACTTAAATGCTCCTAAGTATGGCCCACTTGTTCATCAGACTCATTTATAATCCCTGATTTTTTCTTATAGTGTTTTCTGTAAATTGTGGTGTGTAATAGATTGCTAAGCTGAAACAAATGCATTACAACAGCCATTCGGAACATAAATACTACCACTTTTTGTAGAGTCTTCGAAAATTTAGTCAAATGAATATACTTTGGTATTTTCAGATGCGGATGTTGAGCAGTTATCGTAACACTAAAACTAAATTATGCTTGAAATGTTTTGAAATAGTTTAGGTTATGTTTGTGGGTCATTTTAATATTTGGGTGCCATTTGCTCTCCGCCTGAAAAGTCTTTTTTTTGTTTAAATTTTTTTTTTTAGAAACTCTAAGAAACTTTTTAAATAGTTATTCTTTGTGTCATACTTATAAACAAACAGTTTCTAGGACTGGGAGTACAATGTTTTAATGTTCTAATTAAGAAAAAAGTAGTATCTTAAGAAAATAAAGGAAAACTGATAAATAAAGGAAAACTGAGAATACAGCTGTCCAAAGCATGTTTTAGAATTCTAGGCTATTATTTTTATTTCTTAAGGATAAGCAGATTGTTACATAAAATATAAATCTATTCAACTGAAAGATCCTTAGATTTTAATAATAATTTTGTTCAGTTAACATTGCAACTTAATATACTGTTTTTAATTTTTGTTCAATTTTTGGTTGCTTTAAAATTAGTTCCTGCTTTTCGTCAGAATATTTAGTAACATTATAGTTAATTCCTAATATAACTGGTTTAGCTGAAAATAATTTTGTTGAAGTTCATCATAAAAGTAAATCTGGCACATTTGCTGGTCTGGTAGCAGAATATAAAAACTTGTTGCAATAATTTATTCAAATTTAATTATTTACTCTTTTTTTTTTTAATATGCATGAAAAAAAATTGCAAATCGTAATTTCTGCACTTCATTTTACAATTCAATTTCAATGAAATCATTAAAAATGAAATACATGTTAGTTTCATACAGTAACTTTTTCATTCTGAAAGACATAAACTTTTAACAGTCGGAAAATGTTTTATAAAAACCTGACCCGGGTTTGCAAGAATTACCTGGTACTTCTTCGGCAAACACTCTTAATTAATGGAATTATATCAGTTCCTTAATCATAATAAATTTTTTTTATTATTATTATTTCATTTATTGATTTTTTTAGAAAAGATGTAAATAATGTAATGTTTTTTAGAAAAGATGTAATTTAGATGTAAAGATGTTTAGATGTAATAATTTGAATTTTCACTGATGGCATATGTATATTCGATGATAAACAATCATATTATTTTTAAAGTGCTTAATTTTTAAAAAATGTCCTAAATTTTTTTAAAAAAAGTGCTTAATTTGTTCAAAAAAAGTCCTTGAAAGTGCTTAATTTTTGCTTTGTTAAAAGAGTGGGAACCCTGTATTAAACATATCCACTAACAATTCAACAAATAATTATATTTAATAAAATTCAACAAATCTGACAAAAATATAACAATTAAAATATTTTTTAAAAAGATAAACTGTACGAAAAACATAAAAATGATATGAAAGATGATATGTTTAATTATTTTTTAAATTAATACATGTTTAACAATTTTATTTATTTGTACTTCAATTTCTAAAATGGCACCCGATTTTGAAAATGACTTTTATAGGTTTATCTATAGGTATATTCTTTCTCTACATATTCTACAAATACATTTTTGCCATATTTTTTCTATATGTTTTCTAATGTTTTATATAATAATGGATTTGTTTATGTTTAACACATTAATTTATATTCATACATGCAGTGGAAGGAAATGCCAAAGCTAATGAGGGGCGCTATTCTGAAGCTGTTGAGTTATTTTCAGAATCAATTAAATTAGATCCTTCTGATCATAGGTAAGAAATATAATTTATCAGTTTTAAAAAACTTTTGTACTCTCATTATTATGCTGTAAATTTTATACATAATTTTTTAAGAAAATTAATTAAGAAAAGGGAATTTAAGGAGGGGACAGGGAATTTTATTAAAATCCCGGAAATGAGGGGAACGTCAGGAAATTTATCTAAAATAACCAAAAGGTCAGGGAAAATGAATAAATTTGTGCTTGATGTACGTGTCTGATATGTTTTCCAAAAAAATTGGCCTTGTTAAAAAATTTTTTTAAAAGAAATTTGTGTATTTTTAGCTCCAGTGATTTGTATGTTTGTGTTTTTTTAAATATTTTATGTTAAAGAGTTAGACCCAACGAAACAATTGATGGTAAAAGTTATGACGCCAGTCACCAAATATCATAGAAATTTCATGAAATTAATCTTTAAAATTGAAGGTCAAGCATTTATGAAATTCTCATATTTTTTTTGTTGTAGAAAAGTTATAATTTTGAGGAATAGTTGCAGAAATTAAAACAATAAAAAATGAATAAATTAGATGGATTATTATGGATTATACTCTTCATGTGTTATTAAGTATGTGCACATAATGCATACTATTTAATAGAAGGTCCACATATAGGAAAATAAAAAAACAAAACTAAGGGACATCCAAGTTCTGACCTTTAAAAACAACTATTTCATATTGGCTATAATTTAGAGCTAACTTAAAATATGATTCTGCCAGTGTGGAACAGTCTATTAGTGTGCTTATTCAGTGGTTATAAATGTTTATCACTGTAATTTACATTTAATAAGATTCACTGAATGGGTATAAAATTATCTCTTCTGTTTATTGTTAAATAATTTGTCATTTAAAAAAAAATGGCTATTATAAGTTTTAGCTCACAAATTTTTTATAATGTTCATTGTCTTGTATCTTGTTCATTGTAATGTTATCTTGTTATTTGTTGCATTATATATTGTTTTTGCCTGATGAGTTATGAATGTTTTTTTTAAAGGTTTTATGGAAACCGTTCTTATTGTTATGATCGCCTTGGAATGTTTGATAAGTATGAATTTTCTTTTTTAAGTTTATTTATTGAAAGTGTAAACAAATTTTAATAAATTGATTTAAAATAGAAATTCTGGGTTTTTGTTTTTATTATGGCTCATAATTTTCTCTCTCCAGAAAATAAAGTAAAAAATAACAGAAAATAAAGAAAATAGAGAATTTTGTTTTTTCCAATTTTGGAAATTGGAAGTATTTTCCAATTTCCAGGCATCTTGTATAGTCACGCTTTTATTTTATTTTTATCATACAATCATTTTTCTTTTGTGGTTTTAATATAAGTGAAAGTGATATATTATCTTATTTTATTCTTCACATAAATGTATATAATATTCACATTTAATAATGTCAATTATATAATATTGATGTTTAATAATATAATTAATATAAATTTATATACATTTGAACAATCACATCAGAGGAGCACAGTAAATACAGTCTTTATGCCATAGTTATTTTGAATGATTCAGGGATAAAACAACTAAAATTATTTAGTTTTTTTTTTCCTTTTAAGGTTTAACTGAAAAATTTAGAAAATAAGTGAATTTGCTAATGAAAGCAATAACATTCATTTTTTATGAAAGATTTGAATAATACATTATTATATCATAACTTTATTATCTTTACATAAAAAGGTTCCTTCTTGAAATTCAACTTAACTAAGCTACTGGTTTTAGCTGTATAGCTAATTTACTAACTTAATCTTAAATTTGGGTCTAACTAAATTCAAATATTTAATTTTAGCAATAAAAAAAAGCAATGGTTGTGATAAATTTCAATTAATAGACTTTTACAGAGATAACAGTGTTTTCTATTTCCTTTTCTATTTTTTCTATTTCCTTCTAATTTTTTGAATTCAAATCTACTCTTTATAGTCTATGAGAATCAATTTCGGATTTATTTATGACTTTCACTTTGTTTGTTTTTTTAAATTATTCTTTTGTTTCAGAGCATTAAAAGATGCAGAAAAATCAATTAAACTTTGTCCAGTGTGGCCTAAAGGTTATTTTCGGAAAGGTAGAGCTTTATTGGGTCAGAAAGTGAGTATATTTTATTATGAGTATGAAATGAATGAGTTTTTTCTTTTTTTGAGTGAAAGTTTTGAGAACGAGTTTTTTTTTTATGTGTATAATGCTGGAGTGGATGCAACTTAGTTGCTTGATAACCATGGTGCTTTATTTTTACCACGTTTATATAAACTTGCCTTCGTGTATGTCTGTCCGGGTGGAATTTTGTAATCGATTTTAAACTAACTTCCCGACTAGCTACAAACTTCAAATTTGGCACA